TAAAAAATAAATCAGAGCTAAAAAAGTGCAAAAACGCAGGCAAATTTGCCTGCGTTCTACTACAATCTAAGGGATATATTTTATATATTATGACTTAAAAATTGACCTAATTCAGCTAGGTCAATTTTAAGTTAAAAAATCGACCTAACTGAATTTAGGTCGATTTTTAAGTCATATTTTACTAAATTTTAGTTTTCAATATTTTGATTTAATTTTACAGAAAATGTCTTGGCGAGCTTCAGTATTTAAGTACCTTCATTCGAAGAAGGATACTCGACTTTCCAGCTATAATATGGACAAATTAACCAGAGTTTTGGCCAACAATGACATCCATTCACCTAAGATGTCAGACCCTGATAAAAAAACGGACGAAAGAGATCGTCTATATGTTAACGTCTATGGCTTGGCTTGGAGGTCGAAAAAGATATAAAAATTTTTTTTTATGTTACACTAGCAAAAATTCGACCACCATTTGACTGATGTTTGGTATGTCGAATAATATACATAGCATATCATTCGACATACCGAACATCAGTCGAATGGCGATAAGAGAAATACTAATTTAATTAATTTATTTGCATGCTGATTTTTTCTTTTTATTTTAATAGTTAACCAAATTGTTGTATGGTGTCCTCAATGCAGCTGTGCAATTTAATTCCAAACGTTCCCGCCGAAGCTCATATACATTGATGGCTCCTCAACCTGATAATCTGCCTGATTGGACAGTAAGGGATGAATACGGTGATGACGATGATGACGATGAGGAGGAAGAAGAGAAAGAGGATGAAGAGAATAAAGAGGATGAAGAGGATGAGTTAGATGAGGATGAGGATGAGGGTTCTGATGATGATGGTGAATAGAGAGATGATGAAGGGAGGAGTGCAAGAAGTTGTGGTAAAAGACCAGCTTCTGATACCATAGAGGAACCTTCAAGAAAACGAAGGGTTTAATTTTTTTTTTTTTTCTTTTTTTTGTTTTTTTTTCAAATTTTATTTGCTTCTTTTTCTTTTCTTTTTTTTTGTTTTTTTCTTACTTTGTTTTTTTCTTTTTTCTTAAATTTGTATCTAATTTGTTTTAATAAATTTATAATATGTTAAAATCATCCAGAATTCGATTTGTACGAATGTTATTACGTAGTAATTGATTGTCGATTATTAATCGACAATCGATTGAAATAGCCAATTCAACTTGAATTCAGCTATCGAATTTATACCAAATATTATTAGTAAGTAGTTGTTGATTATTAGTATTTGGTAGTCGATTATAAGTCAATTTATTGTAATTAATCGATTACCGAATAAAATGGCCAAATCAACCTGAATTTGGCCATTGAATTTATACCAATTTTATTCTAAATTTTATAAGTATTTGGTCGTCGATTATAAGTTGATTTATTGTAATTAATCGACTACCGAATGAAATGGCCGAATCGATCTGAATTCGACCATCGAATTTATACCAATTTTATTCCGAATTTTATAAGTATTTGGTCATTAATTACAGGTCGATTTTATTATGTCAATCGGTTGTTGATTGAAATTTTCGACTTGAATTCAGTTGGCGATTTTTTATTAGCATTCAACTGTCGATTTACTCTATCATTTGATATAATATCAGCCAAATATTCGACGGTCAAATTCAGGTCGATTCGGCCATTTCATTCGGTGGTCGAATTTCTTATATTCAACTAGTGAACCACAGGTTGAATAATCAACTAATGTATTTGTTACTATAATTTGTAAAAATACAAATAAAAAATAAAACTATACTGCAAGAATAAAAGCTCAGACTAATTTATCTGTGACCTAAACCTACTAGAGTGATCAAAGCTCACCTAGATTATAATAGAAGAGATAAGATTAAATGAAGTACTGTATTTAGCTCAATAAGCTAACCAGAAGTCATATTTCTTCTAGTCTAGCCAACAGTTATTAGCTTTTTTTACAATAAGCCAAAATATTAAAGTATAATAAAAAAATATTTAATAAAGTAGTTTATTTTAAAAATAAATAGATAACCTAGCTTAATGATATACTAAATCTAATACAAATAGATCCAATCTATTAACATTAGCTTAAAGATAAAAAATTTTACATATTATAAATATAATTAAAACATATATTGTTAAACACTATAAATATAACTAGTAAAATTAAGAAAGTTGATGTAAAGTAATTCGAAAAACTTATAAGGCTATAAAGTTTATTATAAAAAATATAAATATTACATATAAAAAAGATTATGAGCTGCTCTGATATGTTTGTGTTGTGATTAGCCTTACTATAAAAAAATCTAAGCTAGTTATAGAAGAATAGGTTTGAATTTGGAATAAGCCTGTATATAAAATTCTATAACTCGACAATATTAGATATATTTTATTGATGTTCTGATATACATATCTCCTTTTGTTTTTTAGAGGTCTTTTGTTTTTCCTTAGTCGATTTTTGTTTTTTTGGTTTACTTCCTCCATATTTAGCTTCCAGACTTTCCACCAATGCATTCATTCGTTTCTCACCTCTTGCAAGTATAAGCTGTCTTAGTTGTTCTTCATCATCGTTATTTTTCAGCAATTTCTGGTCCAAGCCATACATTTTAGCCATTTCTTCAGCTTCTTTTGCTTCACGTTCGGCTTCTTTTCGACGCTTCGTCCTTGCAGCCGAGGCAGTGGAAGAAGTGAATTTTTTGTATGAGGGAATTTCTTTTGAAGAGATAGCACCTTGAAGTATTTCAATGAAACGTGGTTCATCTTCAATGCTACCACATGCGATATGTTGCATAATGAGGTCCATATCACCCTTATATTTTTTGTAAGCATCAATGAGGTCAGAACGTTCTTCAGAAGAACCTAACATACAAGCAAGCATAAAGTTTAAACGACTAAATTCACAGAAAAAAAGAAAATAAGTTTTCTTAGAAGAATAAAAAAGCTTTACCTTGATACTCAACACGAAACTCTTCTATAGATTTTGAGTTCACTACGCCAGACCACAGTTCCTTAAAGAAAGCGTCCCAACCTTCCTTTCCCATATCATCAAAGCCTTCAAAACCCTCAACATCACCGGTCTTATCATAACGTTCACGTTTCTTAGGGTCGCTAAGTACAGCATAAGCATATCCTAAGCTCTGAAACTTTCGGGTTGCTTCTTCGCGTTGCTCAGGGGTAGAATTAGTGTGTTTATCAGGATGATACTGAAGAGCTAGGCGATGATAAGCTTTTTTTATATCAACTGGGGAAGCTTCTGAGGTAAGAGATAAAAGTGAATATAAATCTTTATCAGAAGGATATAGAAACTCTGACATTTTGGGAAACGATAAAACGCGAAATTTGAAAAGGTTACGTTTATACGCTATACCCCAATCAGGGACGTATAATATTACTTAATTTGACACGTGGGTTTGCCTCATATAGAGATTATCTGACCAATCGATGAGTACGTACGTATCATGATTGACGATAGGGATTCTTTATCGTTACGCCCATAACTAGGTAATAAACGAGGTATATACGTACGGTAGTAAGATATTTTACCGTATGAGTTAATCTTATTATTGTGTTTTATTCTTTTTATAAAAGAAATACATATATACCGTATATATATATATATATTATAAATTTTGAAGAATTATTTTGGATGGCATTTTTCTGGGGGTTGGGTTTTGGTAAGATTTCAATGCAATGGATAAAAAGATATTTGAGCCAAAGTGAGTATAATGTGTAGAACTATATATCAAATATCTGGTAGTGTTACTTTGACGGGTCCAGCCCTCACTATATGTTTACATAACAATTATAAAAGTGGGTGATATATTATTTTCACGAAACAGGCAAGTATTCTTTACGACTAATCCGCATCGTCTTTGAGATTCACTGATGATGACCAAATCACATATGTGTTTATTACAGAGCACAGAAGAATGCATATCAGGAATGCCAGGATTTTCGTATTAGCGTTAGTTGAATGAAGAGGTTAAGGAGTGATTATGTTATATTATAAACCACGGGATAAGATTTACGATTCATGTGATTTGAATTGTCTCATTGGTGGTACCGATACGAGTTCGATTATAGCGAAACTTTTATCATGCTGAACAGGTTTTAATTTTTTTAATTTTCCAAGTAGCTTGAATATATTTTTGATGTTGTTTAACATCGTTCAAACCTTATAAGTGAGATAAATAACGAGTTAGATAGGTCATTCATGTTAAATAGTTAAATGTATGTAATCAATCTCATGTGAACGATCGATCATTTTCTTGACATTTAATATGATCTCAAGATATCAATATTTCCCATTTAAATGATACTGCGTAATTTTCGTCTCTATCAGGGTTTTCATATATGCATCCGACTAGAAACACCAGCTAATGTGATGGTCTTGTTCTTTGCGCGAAATCAATCAATTATTATTATCTTTGTTTATATTATCCGGTTGGTCACGTACGCGAAAAAGACGCGTCAAACCGTTAATCCTTAGTCATGAATCTGAATAAAAATAAAAATAAAAAAAAATTAGCATTATCCCATCTTTAAAATGCTGCTTTGTTAAAAAATACTAAATCCGGTTAGACGAACTCCTGAGGATCCGTAGATAAGTTAGATCCCGGAAAGGAAACTCGGCGTCTTCTCTAATTTCCGATCATAGATTGGCAATTTTTTTTTTTTTTTTTTACAATGAAATTATATCAATATTTATATAATTATATATTAAGAATTGAAACTTAACCTAAAGTAGAAATTTGTACCCAACGTACGGCCAGAATTAGAGGTTTGAAGATCAATCGACCCGCATTACCTTTACATTAATGTTGGCCAGCCGACCTGATTTCCGACCTCATGATTCGATTATAAAGTAGGCATCTAACGATAATTGAGACATCAAACGTTTTGTTGCTTTTTCGCATTAACGCACCCTTGACCTTGTTTTTAAAATAAAAGAAAAAAGACGTGTATAAATTTCTTCGATATTTAAAAGTTCATTATTTTGGAGAAGAGTTCTTTTCTTTTTTATCTATCTATTCGTTCTTTTTTCTTCCTGAACTTTGCTCCTGCTACTAAAAGTGTATCGTTCAGTGTTGTAAGTATATTTTGTAAAAACAAAAAAAAAAAAACAAGTGAATATAACGTTGGTATCCGGCCTTCAACTCAAAACTTTTCATTTTGTTTATTGTTATGAATTCTGAAAATTTTCTAGAACTTTACAAAGTTTAATATTTTCTTATCTTAAGTTTGAATTTATAAAATTATTTCGTTTTACTTTTTGATGGCTTCTTTTCTTTAACTTTGGTTCGTTTCAACTAACTTACGTGAAAAGTGCGATATTACAGTATTATAGTTTGTGTTCGAATATTAAGTTTATTCGAACTTGCTGCGGCACCACCGTTCTAATTATCGTCATCTGACAAGTTTGTGACCGGAATTATCCGGCTCTTTTTTGCAACTAGTCCGGATAATTTGTTAGTTTTAAATTTACGATAAACGTTACCTTCGTACAAGATATTCGCTGTTGTCGTTAAACCCCTTTTAACAAAGTTCAACACGCACTCATAAAGCTTTACCGTTCATGATGCCTCCTTTACAGCAAAACCAGAAATTTGAGAAACGACAAGCTCGCAGGCAAGATCCTATTCAAAAAAACACTTCGAGGAGAACACCAAATAAACAAGAACAACCTGTACACTCACACATGGGTACAGAACGACCTTCTCCTTATTCAACGCCTTCGGAACAACCTCCCCTTTCACGCATGGAGATCCAACTACCTTATTCAACCTTACCTACACATGTTGTTATGACCCCTGATCAACGATCTCAGTCTGATATCACTTGGTATGGCTCCGTTCCTGCGAAGTCTACAGATCCTCGACAGTCTTGGCCGAGTCAAAATCCTCATTATAATATACGATACGATTGGCCACAGCATTCGATGCATCCGCAATCTACATGGCTTCCTCGTCCTTCTCGATATTTAAACGTTCAAAATAACGATTGGCGTTCACGTTCGCAAAATGATGATAAAGCTTCTCCGTGGCCTGTTGATAATTGGGAATTACGTCCATCTAATGTCTCTACTACTAATCAATCAAATAAGTCTGATCTTGTTTCTTCATCTAAGAGTAATGATTGGCAAAGTGAAGATAGGTCTTCTCCTTGGGGACAGGCCGAAAATTGGGAATTGCGATCATCTAATGTCTCTAATTCTGTTCAATCTGATTTGTCTTCTTCTCAAAATAACAATTGGCGATCGCATTCACCAAATATTAATGGGTCTTCTCATTGGCAACCTGTAAAAAATTGGGAATTACAACCACCACCTAATATCTCCAGTCCTCCATTATCTGATATGATTGTACCATTTCAAAATAAAGATTGGCAACTACATTCTCAAAATTTCAATGGTTCTTCTCCGTGGCAACAAGTTAAAACCTTACAATTTCAACAACCAAAACTAAATTTGATTCAAAATGATGAATGGCATTCATATTCTCCAAATGATGATATGCCCTCTCCTTGGAAACTAACTGAAGGCCTGGAAGTAAAATCATTAAACGTTACTAGTTCTATGCAATCCGATATTGTTACATCTTCGAAAAGAAAGCCTGTTCAAAAAGGTGTTTCAAAGATAGTAAAAAAGCCTAATATAAAAGTAAAATCTAGTGTTAAACATACTTTTAAAGACTTGAACTCTTTAAAGAACGCAGTCGAAGATAACGCTCCACTCTTTATCTTTGCGGAAGAACAAGCTACTACATCTAAAAGAGAGACTTTTGTAAAAACAAACGATTTGTTAAATAATGCTAGTTCTTCAATAGTTCTAACTTCCCCCGCACAACAAACGGACGCATCACAATCTTTACATGCTGATTTTGTTACCACAGCGAAAAGAAAACGTAGTCAAAATAAAGACCTAAAATCAGGAGAAAATTTTAATGTAAAATCTAACTGGAATGACATAAATAATTTGAAACCTTCTCCTAATATCCTAGTTCTGAAAAAACCTGATGTGAACAAGGAAACTTCACATAAAGTTGAAGAAAAATTTGTTAATAATAATGACTCAGCTTTTATGATTCGCGAAGAACAGACCCCCCAATCTAGCTGTGATGATTTAATATCATCCGATTATTTATTAAGTAGTCCCATACAAGCTTGTTCGGACTCGCAACAAATCGAGGAAGAATCGCGACCAGTACAGGTCGATTTGGATTTAAGAAAAGTTGAAGAAGAATTAAAACTCGTGCAAGTCGATTTGGACTTAAAAGTTGAAGAATTAAAACCCGTACAAATCGATTTGAACTCAAAAAAAGTTGAAGAAGAATCAAAACCCGTACAAGTCGATTTGGTTTCACCAACGAAAAGAAGTTTGAGCCCAAAAAACAGCTCGAAACCGGGACGTAAGCCAGGTGTAAAACAAAATCGAAAAGATCAAAAATCTCTGATAACTGCTCAAATTAAAAATAGTGTAAGAGTAACGTCACGTAAAGGCAAAGAAAAGGTGGTTGATAATGCACTAGTAGTTAGGTCAACTGAAGAACAAGCATCTACTTCTAATGGGTTTGAGTCAACGTCAGCAAATATTTCATTAAATGGTAGAGCTGGATCTTCTACTGATGCGTCTAGAATACAATCAAAGCCCATGACAAAGGCGGCAGAATCCTTATTCAATTTCTATCAATCTCTAAAACCACCATCGCCAGAACTAACAAGAGAACAAATGTTGAGACTTGGAACATACATTTTTGATGAACTTTTGTCGACATCATACGCTCGCCCGTTTGTAAATCCCGAAGCAGAAGATGCATATTATTATAGGTCAATAATTAAAGATTTGATGGACTTAAACACAGCAGAACGTAAACTTTGGGCTAGATGTTATTCTTCTCCATTAGACTTATATAAAGACATTTGTCAAATCATGTATAATGCATTTAAATTTCACCGAGAAGGTGATATTATTTATGAGGAAGCAAAACAACTATCATTATTTTTCCAAAAAGCTGTACTTACTTTGAGGTATTATAATTTATTATAATAGATTTTTGTTCATAGTAATAATGATAATTATTATTTCCTTAATTATAAACTTTTGCTTTTTTAATAACAGTGCAAACGGTAATACTGCACAAGGAATTTCTAAAGCTCTGGCCGAAAATAACGTACCTCTTCCTCATGAAGATTTCAGGAAACTTTCTATTTGTACTCCTCATGCTGAAAGGTGAGAAATAAATTTTATAATCAGAAAACTAGGTTATTTATTTATACCTAAACATTAAGCATTTATTTTATATGTATTATAGCCGAATTTATATTACGACATTGTTTACTTTTCTCGAAAATAATAAAGCTGGTCCACATCGTAAGCTTAAAGAATCTGTAATTGATAGATTGGACCCTTTGGCGCGCCCTCTTGGCGAAATAATGAACTTAGAGCTTCTACCATTAATGGAATTCGATCCATCAGTGTCAACCTGTAATTTTGGGCGATTGTACGTTGTTTCTGGTCGGTCATCTCTCGCACAATGTAGAGATGATAAAAACGCTATTCTAGTTATACTCAAAAATATCAGATACACTAGAGGTGAAGAATTATTACAATGTGACGCTCTTATTGCAAAACCTTTTGGGGACCTACATTTATTAGATAGTATGCAATTTCCTGAATTAGTCGATGCAAGAGCATGGGTTAAATGTGCATTTATAAATCGAGTAACACTTGATCTTAAAATTACGCGAAAATTCTATGATAAATGTGTAAAGTCTACTTTTCAAGTTGTAGAATATCAAAAGGAATTGCTGACTCCTGAATTTCATGATGCTTTACTTGATGCTTTACAGTTAAGGCAACAAGAAGATGCAATAATCGAACCTCAAACTCCTCAATCTATTTGGGAACATCTTGTTAAGGGTAACGTTATCTTTTTCCTCTCTTTTTTTTTTTATTGTAATTATAGCTATATCCTGAAATCTAGGTATATGTGGAAATTTACTGAGAAAGTATAATTGGCATGTGATCTGCTGCATAAGTGCAGGACACGTAACAACTGTTATTTCCTGGTAAAATTTCACTTAGAAACCCTGATAGATAGGGTATAACTAAATTATCTCTGCCATCCACATAATTTTTTAATGCACTTGTGATACTAGTTTTTATAGTAGACACATAAAGGAAAAAAAGATATGCGGATAGTAGTAGCCAACGGATAAATCTATTTAGATGATTATTCTATTACCGTTATTAACTATTTTTTATTGTTGTCTATTTACTTATTTGTTTACAGAGGCAAAAGCACGAAATGTTCCTATTGAATGTTTTCATGATCTCGGAAACATTAAAATCGAGGCCGAAGGGACTTTCAAAAGAGTGTTTCATTTTGCCGATGACACTAGTTTCGTTGTTCAAAACTTTAAGCAAATCACGTCAGATACATTGGAAACTCGTGTTAGGGAGGCTGTGTGTTGTCTGTGAGTAATGTTTTATTCATATAATTTATAATTTCTTATATTTAGATTATTAACTCTTACAATCACCGTTTTTAGCAAAACTAAGGGTGTTGCGAATGCTGGCCAGATTAGGTCAATTTATAAGAGTCCTAGCGACGAATTAGTCGGACTGTCAATGGAAAGGTATATTCTCAAAATTGTTATATGAGTATTGCAAAATTAAAACCTGGGAATTGAGAAATTCACTAACTCTACTGGTTTTAATTTGGCAACATTTATATAACGTTAATAAATATATGAGCAATCGTTTAAAACATTTTAACAATATCCTAATTGCAATTTATTCTACCTATTTATTTATAGGTACGAGCAAACTCTGAAAGATTATGCTTTCAATTCAAGGCGTGTCTTAACGGGTGAACAAAAATATAAGCTCATTGTCGATATGCTACGAGGTATCCGAGCCATTCATCAAGCCGGCTTTGCACACCGGGACCTTTCCGAGGTTAATATGATGGTATCGGAGACTGGCGAAAAATTGAAGGATGGTAGCATAATGCCGGAATTAGTCATAATCGACTTTGGTAAAGCTGAATTTGTCCGACCTATTGACGTTAAAAGGTAAATCATTCATTCAAAATTATTATTTATCAAAAGATCCAAATATATTGAGACTATTTATTTGTCAGGTGGTCCGTTGGAACTGTTGAGGATGATAGGCTCAGCATCTTGCCCATGATTAAAACGCCACCAGACCATGGTTATAGACTATACAGGTGTGGTTTTTATTATTATTATTATTAATTAAATTAAATATTTTTACTCTTGCTAATATTCGTGTGTTTTCATTATTTGAATTTAGATCCATCATGACCCTTCCAAAAAATAATCATGATAAAGAAATTTTGGGGCCGTATGACCCTTGTGCCGAAGATATTTATTCGATTGGCGTTCTAATTTGGCGCACATTTTCAGGTCAAGCGTAAGTATTAATAAAATATTAATTTGGAAAGAAATTTCTTTTTTTTTTGTTATAAAGTATTAACTTTTTTTTTTTAATTCTGAAAGTCCATGGAATGGTCTTCTTGACACAAATATCAAATTATTACGAGAACTAGTGTCAAATGCAGAAAAAATTAGCCTCCGAATTGAGAAGGTATATTGTCATTTTGTATATACTGTTTTTATTTAATTAATGTCCTAATCGGAACTTTCTTCTCAAAGGATGTAAGAGGTGAACATTCTAAAAAGTTGTTGTATCGAAGTCTCGATCCCAATCCGCAGGCAAGGAATAGTGCTGATGAATTGTTAAGGTGGGTAACAGAAGAAGTTGTGAAAGAAGAGTTGATTAAGGAGTGGTCGGTAGGTGGTCGTTTAAAAAAGCCAAAAATGATGTGAGAAAAAGAATTAGTTGAATGAACCGAAAAAATTTGATAGGTAGTTTGTGAATAGTTAATTAAAAATGTATAGGAATTTTTGTTTTTGGTGGAAGTAGTGGTATAAAAAAGAAATTCTTTGTTCAATTTGAATTTCAACACCACAAAAAAAAAAAAATAATTTTAATTGAACAATATAATCTAGATAATTTAGGATTTATGAAAATCTAATTAAGAAATTAAAATAAAGATAATTTAATTCCTAGAACTTAATCAATTAGGTATTAATTTTGTATATATATAATTAGGTTTGTTTAGTGGCTTATAATATATTTATTGTAATTCATCGATGTGTATATATTTAGATATATAGATGTATATAGCTTAGAATTTTGTCACAGGGAACTTAAGAGGTTAGGTGTGGCTATGAGTGTTACTCATAAATGTTAATAAACTATATATATACGTAATTATTTCTTATATATATACCGTAAAGTGAGAGTTATTAGATTTATTTAAATATGTTTAATGATTTTTGATTGTGGCTAGATAAAGGTCTCTTTGTACTACAACTAAGCTTGCTAGTAGTACTCGATCATTTGCAGTTAAAAATTTTAATTAGAGTGTCGATAATGGAATGATTTACTGTTGGCGCTTCATTATGGTTGGTATTTTTTTTTTTTTTTTACAATAAATTCGTTTTGATTGGTTGATCGCACTCCGGTGCAAATATATGGGTTGTTGCCCATGCTTAGAGTATATATTTTTTATATACTCTAAGTATGGTTTTGCTGGGCAACAACCCATATCGATATATGCACTAAATTTTTATTATTAATATATATTATACGCATAATTATATGAGTGTCCAAGGGGTAGTGTTGGACCATGACAAGGTCATTTCGGTTAAGTTCAATTAGTAAAATCATGTACGATTTTACAAATTGAACTCAGATGATAAGGGAAAACCAGCAATTCTGAAAGGATTATTATAAAGTTAACAATAATCTATTTTTGGATCCTTAACGATATATTTTTTAGATAAGGGGGCATTTTGACTACGTATTAAAATTAATTTTATCTAAACTCTGCGTACAGCAAAAAGCCAAATTTGAAGATTACATAATCAATTATGATTGGTCAATTTTATATAAGTCATTTAAATATGAAAAGTCTGTGCCACCCCGTCTAAATTAAATAGTAATTTGATGACGTACATCACCTTAGGGTTAGGTCAGTCAGTCAATTTAGTATTTAATTTAGATAGGGTGGCAATAAATTATTTACCACCCCGGGCGACTCCTTTTGAGATATGGCAACTGTGGTGTTAAACACCATTAACAATACCGTTCTAACAGAATTGTAGCTTGGATAAAAGGCAACAAATCTGTAAGAATGTTTGTTAAAATATTCTGTACTTGAGTTATAACACTTTTTATTTTTATATATAAATATTGGCATAACGACTATAGAAAAAGAGAAACCAGTTAACTTGTACGTATTTGTATATTGATAACATTGTTTGGAGGTAAAGTGGTAGATCGACAGATTGACATATAATGAAGTATCTACTCGGTCTATATGAATAAAAAGTTCATTATATGATTATTTGATTAGAAACGAATGTTTATATCCTTCGATTCATCTTGGTAAGACAAATTGAATGGTATAAAAATTTCAAAACTCTATGATCTACGTACGTACGTACGTACTAGGGATTGGAACCGCCTAAAATTTTTCTTAATCGTTTAATCGTTTAACCGTTTATCTGACCGGCATTAAAATAATTCCAGCTCACGACCAACATAATTCCGCCCGAGACTATGGAGCAACTTTTAAACGGTTAAACGGTTCCAATCCCTACTACGTACGTACCTTGTGTTAATTGGATATTATATGATCCGCCCTTTTCACCTTATGAAAATCAAAATTTTGTTAACTAAAAAACAACATTAGCATAGCATATTAAGTACGTACGTACGTACGTACCGTAATTTGCCGCATAAACCACCCCTTTATAAACCAGTAGACCCCACGTGATTTTTTTACTAATAATTTTCTTTTTTTCACTAATTAAATAAGAGGATGAAATGTAAGAGACGCCGGGTGGTTTATGCGGCAAATTACGGTAAAGTTATTCAGAAGATCAAAAAATATAAAGGATTGATATAAATTAACTTTTATTAATATATTTTTAATTTTATGTCTTGCAATATATTAAGAACCAGGTTTTAGAGTTTGGTTCTGAACCAAATCATGTTCAACTCAGGTTTAGGAATTTATTATGTAAGGACCCGGTTTTTAGGTTTTTAATTTAGAATCTAAACCAACCTAAACTAGCTTTACCATCCCTAACTGTCTTGTTCTTTCAGAATCATTTTAAATGCAAATGGTTCAAATTTTCTACCAGTTCCTTCATAAAATTTATTGTTAAATTCGACCCTAATAATTTAAAAACAGTTAGTTAAATAATCCTCATAGTAACGAAACGTAACAATAAATAATGATTACCAATGCAAACGTAAAGCATGCAAGAAGGCTGATAAACCTTCCATTAACAATAAAATAAAAACCGTTAAACTGAACCATAAACAAAATGCAATAGTGAACGCAATTGTTCCTAATACACCAGACATTCCAAGTGTAGGGCTGAGTGTCATATCCCATAGTACTGACGAAAGTTCTTAAGCAAAGGATAAATAAATTATTTAATATTACAGATATTCAATTATAATAAATACAATTCCCAAAATAATAATACTCACGAGCATGTGCTAAACTTAAAGCCCATAACCGTAAATAACTAGCTGTATTTGAAATACAACCTAAACAAAATTCAATCGTATGTATAGACTGATGAATCATAATTTCAGCAAAATCAAATTCTTCTACTTCAAACATTTCTTCAGCAACCACAGCACCACCGTATTCGTTGTTTTCATCGGTTGACACACGTGTAGCGTCCATTTGAGGGTTATGATAACCCTGAGAACGAATCTTCTTATGATCGTGTCTCAAAATAAGAGGTTTTGCAAGCAACATCCATGGTACGCATATTATAGCAATACAAAGAAGCATGCCTTGAATAAATCCCTATAATATTTACAATTAGTTACATTTATTTTATAAACTCTGGATATTTATACACTTATGACTCACCTGTCCAGGATATAATTTATCCTCTTCAGCCACAACACCGGGTTGTAAAAACATATAAATCAACATATTTAGTAATCCTGGAGGTGAACCATAAACCAGTTTACCATTATCATCACGTTTATGCCAGTCGACAGACCACTTTAGTATTATTGTAAATACAAGGTAGCCAAATATGCATTGCATAAATAACATTTGAGGAACGAACTCAGCCCAGATGCTTAATCGCTTTTTAAAATAGATATAATTATACACTGTAAGGACAATGCCAAAGCTCATCTTTTGAAAATGATAATTATAATAATTTTAGACTTTATCTGCGTAGTGAAACAACTAAAAGATCATTTAGATATGATTCAGACCTGAATAACACCTAGGATAACTGACATTTTCATCTTATACGAATTGGTGAAAACCAAAAAGTTATCCGACCCATGCCATGCCTGAAAATAATAACCCAAATTATAATTAAATAGTCTTGATAAATTTTTTAAAAGTATCAAACACTCACAGGATCAATACCAAACGGATAAACCCCAATTTGCTGAGCTTCAGTTTGATTAGGGAGCCGCTGAAATCCGGATGGGAATAATCTAAGCGGTAGTGAAAAGCAATCGTTGTATATCAATCCAGTATAGATGGAGAACAAACCCATCAATAAAATGATGTAGCGGCCACTAAAGAACGTAGCAAATATCTAAAAACCATTAATCATAAGTAGTTCATGAATAAATTTTTCAAATAAAAATAATTTAGTCAATCATTTGCAAGAGATAACACAGACCTCGTCGGTTATGCTTCCCTCTAACTTTTTCTCGCGGATAACAAGATATAACGCAGCTGCTGTGACCAACAATCCATGACCAAAATCACCAAACATGACAGCAAAAAGGAAAGGGAACGTAATAATAGTGAATAATCCGGGATTAACCTCTCTATATTTTGCCACACCGTACGCGTCAACTATATCTTGAAAGCCAACAGTGAACTTGTTGACACGAATAAAAGTAGGTGGTTCTTTTGTCGTGCGAAGCTCGTTTAAAATTGATGGTACAGTTGAACCAGATTGATCCTAGAAGAAAAAATTGTATACATTAACATTAAAAAAAAAAATAAAAATAAAAATTGCAAAGATCAGATATCATACAGTAGCAGTTCTCAGAGCTTGATTAATTTTATCGAAGTCATTACTCGGACACCATCCCTCTGCAATTAAACACTTGCGACTCGAATCGTAATTAAATAAATTCATTGTATGATAAATTGCTTTCTCTTTCTTAACGATTGTCATCCAAATATTCAAATTCTCAGAAATTTTTTGCAACTCTGTTCTTCGAGTATTTTTAGTATTTTGCAAGACAACATTAAGGTCTTCAATTTGTAATGTAATTTCAGTTAATTTGTTATCCCTCAGCTCAGAGCTGTCATCTACGGGATAAAGGGTTGCGCCTAATGATTTCGATATTTTCCTGATCTTATTTAAGATTTCTTTTCCGTGAGCAAATATAATAAATACGTTTTTCTCTAGTACTTCATCGGTCTCTGGATCGGTAATTGGTTCATCAATTTCAACATATTTCAGGTATAAGTTTCCACGCAATGCACGCCAAAGTATACGTTCAAAAGTTTGCATTTTTGCTCGCGCAATAACCCCAGTAACAAACCTAATTTTGAGATGATGATAAATAATTTAAGAATTCTTGGAAAAATATTAATCTTCAATACTGACCCAAGATTAAGATGATGGAGAACCAAGGATTCACCATGTTCAATGTCCTGTTGTTGTTCCAGTAATGGTGCAGTAGGCTCATCAAAGGAATTGCGTATGGTATCTTGACGAGATGTGGCCTAGATGTAAAAGGTATTAAGTATATGCTAAGTCATTTAAGATCATGCAAGATGATTATTTTATCACACCTCATCAAAAAATATTCTAGTCTCCTGTAGCACGTATCTCATCTCGGTTAATTCTAAGTATCGTTTTTGTAAAGTCTCTGTAGAATTATTCATATTGGTGATGCGCCGTTCATGTTCTATAATTTTTCCTTCAAGGTCATCAATCTCTTGAGGACTTCGGGCATGTATATTTCGTACATCACCAGTGAGTGGTTGAATAGGGATATCAGATTTTTTAATTTGTGCATCAAAAAATCCTTTCGAAAAGAATGTGCAAGTTAATAAAATTGGCCGTTTAAAAAAGAAAAAAAAAACAATATTTATACAAGGTAAATAAATATCATGATCGACTATTTGGTCATTACTTTCAAATTTTTAATCAACATCTAAGACTAATTTCACAAAATAGTCATTGATCTATTCGAAATTATTAAAAAAATCTCAAGCTTACTTAGATGTCTTTCTATTTCATCGAATCGCCTAATTTCCTTGACAAAAGCGCGTTGAAACGCATTAACGTCAGGGTTCAACTAGATAAATTAACGCAAACGTATATATCCTTGAATTACATATTGTATCAGCAAAAAAGAATTACATTTATTCCTAACACCAGTAATAAACCTACATCTCGAAATTGAATCAAGCCTAATTCTCCTAATTCTGCCACGGTTGGTTGAGCAGTCTCTTGTGGTATATATAGTTGGATGAGAGACATCTCTTCCGATCGGAAGAGACTTGAATACGGCATTCTGGTTTACTTCGATGGGCTTACTGTTTGGAACAAATCAGCACGATCTTTAAATTCTTTTAGTTTACAAACAAAGAGGATAATCGCTTATTGGGAAGTCCTGAATCCCGTCAATAATTCCGGTGTGACAAATTAAAGAATTTAATTAGAATTTATCATTATTCATCTAATCTATATATATATAAAGCACAATCTATATTATAGAGCGCTAATTTTTATCTAATTTGGTGTAATTGGTTTTAAACTATAAATTGACTTCTTATAACAAAAAAATCTGCCAGAAATGTAGTTTAGCTAGAAATCTATCAATACGCTAGTGTTTTTTTTGATTTTTTTTAAAAAAAAGTTATACCAATTCAAAGTTTTTACCTACGTACTGTCTGACACTGTACAGTTTAAAGTATATCTATTGATCGGTTTTGCCACCTAATTCAAATTAACAACCAAATCTTGGACATATTTGAACTACGTAGAGCTTCGTATTCAATTTTTTATTTTTTTTTTAATATTAATGGTGAGGCCATGCCTCTATAGAGCTTCGTATTCGTATTCATATTCGTTATTCGAATAATACTCGTATTCGGCGAATTTTCGAATAAAGAATTATCTGATGAATAATTCGAATAGGCGAATACGTAAGATAATTATTCGAATAAATTTTATCATTCACATTAGTGACTATATACATTATTAGCTGCATCGCATCCAAAAACTATATTGATAGGTACTTTTCGAGTAAATATTAGTCATTCGGCAAATATTCGAATAAACAAAATATTTTTATTACAAAATATATTGTTATAGTAGTTGAATTTGATTGCTACCGTATAGAGGCCTGCAAATTCATAATTTTGCGGCCCGGGCCCGACCCGCAATTAGAGTTAAAAAATTTTTGCCGGCCCGGCCCGGCCCACTTTAAAAAATTTAAATTTTAGGCCCGCCCGGCCCGGTCCGCAAATATATAAATTTTAATTGGTGATTCACCAGTCAACCAGAGAAGATCTCATAGGAAGAAGTTCGTTTGATTGGTTAATTTTGTGTAGATCATTTCGTGATTTTGTAAATTATGATTGGTTGATCCAGTAAATTATGAAATTACTATGAAATTATTCGATCATTTCGCAAATACTTGAAAAGTAATAAATAAAAATTTTATA